ACTCAAAGATAACTATTCAACAATGCATACCAGATGATTGGCAATGAAATAAAGAAAACATTGATACCAACATATGAGCTTGTTTTGTCGTTAAAAATGTCTTATGATACTTGTAATTTGGGTTGCGTTAAAAAACCCCTTTATTTTCAAACATATTAAAAACGCTTCAATTATAATGTAATGTGACCAAATGTGTAATATTATTTAGTTGGTGGCGATACTGTACTGGTTGATCCAATCGCGATCAAATTCTTTTAGTTGTTTATGAATGTTCTAGATTACTTATTTATATGTTAGGCAGAAATGTTCTGGTTCAATTTTGATGAACAACCTCTAATTGAACTTTAACGTAGACGCCAAACATATTGTACAAGTTTTCTATGTTTTGCTCACCAACCGATTTGTGGGAGGGGAAGTATCAAAGTAAAAGTAGTTAAAGAACATGTGGCTTTAGGAAAGTTTGGAACAAAACCTCGCAACTTTGGTTATTAACGCTGAAGTTTCACTTCCGAGCAAGGCTTCTTATTAAAACTGCACTTGAACAATTATGCCTGGTTAGGCGTCGTTTTCCTAATGGTATGACTTTATTTCTTTATGTCTCCGAAGTTTGGTGTGATTTCTTCTTGTCACACATGGATATGTTTGATTGTAAAGACTAGGTGAAGTTAAAACATTCTATGTCGTGAAATTACAGCTTTAATGTTAAGAGATATAACATTAAATACCCCCGCCGCAGCAAACCTGCCGACTAAGCGAATTTCCATTTGTCCGAATTGATTTTCAGTTAAATATATTTTAATAACATTAGGTTTAACGAGTACCTAGATTTGCTGCTACAAGGAAACTAATAAAGTGTGTTTTTGAGTAAAATATTGATAGCTTAGTACAAAATAAATAAATTTGCCAAGTTTGATTGAAATATATCCATAAACAAGCAAACTACAACATTTGACAATATTCTTTATAACAATAACATGGGAATTTTAAATTTAGAATTTTTTCAATTTTCTCTGTTACTAATAATCGAACAAAAATACTTTTATATACTAAATTATTTGTTTTTTTAAGCTCTTTAAAAAGGTCTAAAGAGAAATCGGGAAATTTTGTGTTTTGAGGGTCAAAAGTGAGAAAAACCAATTTTTACCCCATAAAACCCCCCGTAAAGCCCCGTTCCCATGGTCCGATCGTGCTGGTTCGCGAACTCATTCGAGTTTATCCCGCTTTACACCTTTAAACCAAATTTCATCAAAATCGGACAAAAATTACTCAAGTTATCGCGTTCACGGACGTATATATATATATATAAGTCTATATATATACATATATAAAAATTTGAACGAATGGTGTTTTTGGCCTCTGGGGACATCAAAATGAAAAAGTAAATCGGTCCCGGGTCTAGGTCTTACCGTGCCTCCTACGGTAATAGCTACTTCCCTATAGGGAAATTCGCTAAAATTACAATTAATCTATGAAATCGTGTGAATTATATATTTGATTTAATCTGATGTCCTTTTTGTATGGTGAAAAGTTGAATAGTATGTCTATTTTACTAGTTTATACCAGCGATATTAGTTTGGGAAAGTGTAAGTAACTTTAGGACTTCTTTACAGAAAATACGCAGCTGTTTAATTAATTGTATTAACATCAATCCTTACCATTGGTATTCTGATAAGTATGCAACAATTAGGTTTCTTGTTTCAGAACTTTGATTCTTTATACGTCATTAATCAATCGTTATGGTGTATATATTATACTCCTTAGGCATACTTATGCATTTTTCCGTAGGGAAGATAGATTTATGAGCTCTAAAATATCCGAAGTTAACATACTACACCGACGATTTCCATTAATAAAACCACTCACCATTTAGTTGAATCTAATTTAGTTTAAATCGTATGACCATTATGTTAGACTGAAATAGAGATACAATTTTACGCATTTTAGCCTGAAGCATGAGTGTGGAATTAAATGTATTTTTAGATCAGCTGTTTGCTTTACCAGGACTTTTAATTCCATTGATTATATACAGGTCCAGATTAATTGTGTTAATAAAATTCAGATTGTTTTCACCCTTGAACAAAGAGGTCTGTATACCCGTAAAAATCTATACGTTTTTAGAATCATAACCTAGTTTTTTCGCTAGAGGGTGGTTGTATTCAGATGTTACTCGTATCATAGAACACTTCAGCACAGAGAGAGTAGACGGGTGGCCAGTGGCTTGGCCATGGCAGGGAAACGCCCATGTGATAGTCAGTATCTACACTAGAGTAGGGTGATATCTCTCGCTCAGTCGAACATACGTCATCCTACAGGCATCATAGTGTGAATTGGCTCAAATAATAAACTAACATGTGTTTACTTAAGGGATGGAAGGACGAAATGGAAGTTAAACGACAATTGTATATGGAATTATCTTTTCATTTAACAATCATCAGTACAGTCGTATTGAATAATTCGTATTCGTAAAATAGTTTTTGCGATATTACGATGTTAAGCTTCAAATTAAAGCATTAATAGGGTCAATATAACGTATTTTGAAGCGTACGAAATTCGTTTGAAAAGTTGTTATGATCGTTTTAAATTTGACACAATTACGTGTTTTCGTTTCTCATTCTATACTAGACATTTGTTTATAGCATAGTAATGTATTGTCATTCTTGGGATCGGCTCCGATAAAATGTGTTAAACACTTTTTACTGTAATAGTGTAATGGTAAAACTCTCAAGGAATAGACGAATTAAGACTTGACCATATGAGTTCTCACCAAGACTTCTAGATGGGTGGACCGATGCTTCTAGGTGTCGAGATTGCTTCGGCAGAAAACTCAATCAAACAAACAAACAAGACTGAAGTTATCATTGGACTAATAAAATATCAGTGGGAATTTCAAGAGGAAGTTATCTTTTATCGGGAACTCTTGCTATCTGGTCTTAAAACCAGGCTGTATCGTAACCACCATTCATGAACCAAATGTTACGTTCGACCACACCATTGACTAACAATCAGTCTTCAGTCCACGATCGTATCTACTTCGTACTTCTTGTCCTGGATCCATACACCATTGACTGCATTGAAATATATTAGTTTAATTGTCACTGAAGGGATTGCCTTAGGTGTGAGATATTTAAATCGGTTCTTTTTCTAGCATTGTAATTGGAGTGAGGAATTAAAGGTTTAAAAAAACTATGGTTTTGCTTTAAAAAGTTTTAAAGTAGAGTTCCATTTAAAAGCATCAATAATCTTACAGTCTGTACATCTATAATTTGTTAATATTTATGAAACATAATATTTCTAAATTTGCTGTTAATTCGGATAATCATAATTATAATACCCGACACAAAAGCTGCCTTTTATACCTTAAACACAAATCTTCAACTTTAGAATCATCTCCCTACTATTCTGGTGTTAAATTTTATAATAACCTGCCTGATTTGATTAAATATGCAGGTTCAGCTTCCCTCAAACCGTTTAAAAAGCAGTTAAATATAAGTCTTTATGCAATAATGCTGTTATAAGGTAAATGATTTTTGTACCGTATTTTTAAGGTATTTGTTTTGTCACAGTTATTGTATTGACACTACTCATGTATATTGTGTACAAAATGAATAAAGGATAATTTGATTTATTGTTACTATGCAAGGGAAAGTGAGTATTCTTCAATTAATGAAAGCCGATTTACACGATACTCTTCAATGCCACCAATAACCCGCACAGCCTTTTTCTGGAGTGGAAAAATATGTTTGGTTTCAGATGTTTCAGATCTCCATACCGTGACTGCCTATGAGAGATATGTTGGTCTATTGTCTGTTATAGTATGCTGATAGAAGAACAGTTTTTTTCTGCAAATGGAGCCAGCCGCATAGTTTACTTTGAAATTACTTGTTGATTTATTTTTTTCCTAGTCCTTACTTAAACACTTATTGTGGTAGATTTCATGTTCCCTAGGTCTTAAGTAATTTAAGATTACTTATAGTGTCTTTCTCCTGGTGCTTACCTGAAATTGCCAATTGTGGATTGCCTTTATTCCTTATTCTTAACTTTAAAATTACTGTTAGGTTTCATTTCTCCGAGTTCTTTCTTGAACGTAGGTCTCCGTTTTCCCTGTTTCTTAATTTAAAATATAGCAGATATAATTGTTCCCAGACTTGACTTATTTGAAAATTTCCAAACTGGGAATAACAAATACAGTCTCGTGGTAAGAACTGGGCTCAGGACCGATTTACTTTTTTTTATGTCCCCAGGGGCCAAAACATCCGTTCAAATTCATATAGGCCTGTATGTTTATATATTTGTCTGTTAACATGACAACTAGAGTATAAATTATTTGATTTTGACCAAATGTGGTACAAACATTTAAACCTACGTTTATTCGAACAAGTTTGCGAACCGGCATGATCGGACTATGGGAACAATGTTTTATGGAGCGATAATTAAGTTATCACATTTTGACCTTCAAACAGAGGGTCCCAATAATTCGCTATTTTTTTTTAGCTTAAAAACAGATAATTTTGGTATATTCGAGGGGTTTTGTACAGTTATTGGTTACGCAGAAAATTCAAAACATTGTAAATTTAAAATTATCATGAAATTCTTAAAGGGAAGATGTAAACTGTTGTGGTTTGCTTGTTTATTTCGTACTAAGCTACTGTATTTAAACTACTTATTAGCTACTGTACTGTATTAAAATTTTACTAAAAACACAAACCTTACTACCCTCCCTGTAGCAGCATACCTAAATACTTGTCAACCCATTTTAAATAGGGAGTAAATATAACATGTGTAAAATGTAACAAGTGAAAATGCAATCAGTCAAATAGCAATTGGCTAAGTCAAGTCCGCAGGTTTGCTGCGGCGGTGGTATAATTTTACTTAACGTTCTAACACATTCTTTTCTCTTAATCTGGCCAAGTTAGTAGTGTTCACAGCTTGGTTTATCGACTCCCTTGTACGTGCGTATAGCCATATTCTGTTTCTACATTTATGTGTTTTGTTTTTTGCAGCCCACCGCGGAGTCACTGTGGTCCACGGACTCGGCTGATGCTAGTCCCCAGCCCTACAGCGACACCTCCCCTTCTCCTACAGACTCAGGTACAACCACTCATGTCATCACTCAAGTCATTTTAAGGGAACAGTTCTTTTTTTCAGTTCTTTCTTTAGCGAATTTCCATATAGGGAATAAGCTATTACCGTTGGTATCATGGTAAGACCTATACCCGGAACCGATTTACCTAGTCGTTTTGAGGTCCCCAGAGGCAAAAAACCCCGTTCAAATTTATATATTTATGTGTACACGATAACTTTAGCGAAAATGGTCCGATTTTGATTAAATTTAGTACAAACTTGTAAACCTACGTTCGTTCGAACGAGTTCACGGACCAGCATGGCCGGATTATGGGTTTATGGGGTAAAAATGGGGTTTCTTATGTCTTACCCTAAAAAATTCTCAATTTCTTTCCAAACCAATCTGTAGACCTGAAAAAATAAATAGTTTAGTATATTTAAGTGTTGTTGTATGTATAACTGTTACAGAGAAAATTCCAATAAAGTGTAAATTAAAAATTGGCATGTTATTCTTATGGATAATAAATAAAACGTTGTAGTTTGCTTTCATTTCAGCTACACTTTTCAATAAAAAACTCACCTTTATACAACCCCTTTAGCAGCAAACCTAAGTAAGTTACTAATTTATATCCATGTTATCCATGTTATTTAAATAGGATATAAATCTGACAATTTTAAGGGAATATTTTGGTAAATAAGGCTAGGTAAACGGAAATTCGCTGAGACGGTTTGCTGCGGCGGGGCCTTCCAATACTTTTTCATTATGGTAAGACCGAATTTTTCCTTTTTCGTCTGAAATCACTCTCCAGACGGGTTATAAAATATCAACATATGGTACAAATAGTTTGTGACCGATCGGTTAGTTAATTAAAATGTCTGTTTTATTAGTTGTAGGAAACTATACGTATTTTAAACAGTTGAAACTCGTCTCGTGTTCATATTTTAAATCTTGGAGTTAATCTTCAAAGTGTTACGTGTAGGCTAACCAATGTATGTGTTACCAATGTATGTAATAATCTAAACATACAAATAGATTTTTCACAAATTCATCAATCGTTCTTTCGTAATTCTATAGACATTTGTGAAGGTTATTTTATGGGTGTCAATTCATGCTATATAACTACTCAGTTAATTTGTACTTTTTTTAAATTGCAACATAAAATATCTCCGTTTGAAGTTCATTGTTGGTGATGGTGAGTTAATGTTGTTCAAAGGTTTATTGCGACAACACAAACATTTGTAAAAACCTTGGGGGTTTGTTAGTCTGCATGGTTTGTGCATGGACTTTCGTGATGGAAAATGTCCGCAATAAACCTTTGAACAACATAAAATATCTGTTGTTTGTAATTTTACCTACAGTGCTGAAACTATGCATGTGGGTGTTCTCTTTGATTTTTTTCACTTTTTTGGGGGTTTTAGAGAACAGCTATTTATCAGTTTGTTAAAATATTTAAGAAAATTAGACTCCTAGAAGTAATAATTTAACTGTAATCGATGTACAGTAAATGTATTGTGATTTAGTGTTACTACAAATTAATATATTTCAAAATCTAAAAAGGGTCATGTGATCGTGTTATTGGGTTACATAATTTTTTAAGTAATGATATCCTTCCAGACCATAATATAATTATAATAACTTTTATTGTGCCACGTGAGATGAAGTGCCTACAGGATTTGAATGATGAGGAAATATTTGTGGTTGATTTCTCTTTTGGAGAGCTTTAGCAGGCTTTTTCTGTCGGTCAAGTGTTAAGGGAGTCTTCTCGTGGTCCGTGCAACGGCGACCGGTGAGTCCCAGTTAACATAGAAACTGCCTCAACCAGAGCATAAACAATGGTCATGAGTCATAACGGACAAGATATACAGACAACATACTGGTGGACAACGTAGCCCACGTTGCTTATCATCAATTCATAACTCTGTTGATGCTGGGTTAAAACAACAATGTGCGAGTTGAAGGAGTTTTGAAATGGATTCAACATTTTCAGTTGGTTTGTGTTGAATTAGATGATTATTTGTACATCCTCGGGGTCTTAGGCGTGTGACGATTAAAATCTGTTTCCATAGTAAACACTGCTTACTTTTTGCATTATCGTATGTATCCCTGAAGGTCTTTTGTCATATAAGACTTTACGACATGAGTTTTTGGTATGGGGAAACATGTTTTTAGTTTACAACTTAAAAACTAAAAGAGATTCGGTTATTGATTGAATTTGAAAGTTACTTGGAATCGCAACACATTTCAAATGACATGATATATGAAAGTTTTAGCAATATATTTTCAAGTAGATTTGAATTCAAACCATATAGTCTTCGATAATTTAACCTTGAAATAACCTTCATATACTAACACTACGGTACCATTCTACAGTTGATCACAAACATAACCCTCGATCAGTTGCTTTTGATCGCACCTCCACTAGTGAGTGGTAGGTTTGCTGCTTCTGGTCAATGGTCAGTATAAGTTGAGCAGGTTGTAATAGTTCTGCATGACAAGACATGGATGAGGAAGTTTCAGTTCAAAGGTCGCTATTCGTCCTACTGGAGTTCTTATCTTTTAAGATATCTTGCACAAAGTTTCCAAATCAACTTTACCTGTACATTAACCATGTGGAAGAAATTCTCCACGATAATATTAGCTAGAACTGCTTAAAATACGATTATACGAGTTTTTATGGGGTCAGCAACCGAACCGACTGTTTCTATGCAACTATTGTTATGAATGTTAAATAAATAACAATTCAATATTGAAATTGGTAAAATTATGAATTCATTTTTCGTTATTTTCCATTTCGTGGTTATTCCATTTCACAAATGATTTTTTGACGGATTACTATCGGTTGGGTTGTACGCTTGGTTTTGATTTTCCGAATAAACATTTGGTATACAATTTTCTTATGGTTTCGTTTTTGCTGGTTTCGGGTTTTTCCTAGTTATTAGCATAAAACAAATCGAACTATCAACTAAAAAATCCGATTTTTTTGGCAAAAACTTAAAGAATAAATATGTACAAAACTTGTTAGGGTTGTTAAATTGTACTATGTTTGGAGATTATGTTTATGTTTAGTGCTGTGATATTCACATCCACGTTACCAAGCGTAACAATTTATTAAACTGTATTTTAGCCGTTCTCAAACTATCAACCGTAACTGCTGTTTATCGCATTGTTGCCTATACATTAATTTTATTTCGATATAATCAAATTTGGTGGCCAAAGATGTAATTTTACTTCAAATGCGCCGAATGCGGTGTGTAATTTGTAACGGAATATGGAAATGCGTTGTCTAGTGTGTGTCTTCAAAATATGCAGTACGCTGAATATGCGTTGCCTAGTGTGTGTGTGTACAGAAGATGGAGGTAATTTGTCTAGTGTGTTTCTAAGTACACTGAAGATACGTTGTCTAGTGGGTGTCTACAGAAGAGGAAGATGCGCTGACGCTGACCAGTATGTGTCTAGACTACGGGCGACTTCCTCATGTTGTCTGCCGTGTAATGTCTGCCGTCTGAACCGTGTCAAAGACGTCCGTCGACCTTCATCTGCCGACAACTCTTTAAAATCATTACCAGTTTATTAAACAATTATTTTGCATCTGATGTGAGTCACAAAATATTAGACTATGAACACCTGCAAAGTTACAAAGGTAAAAAACATACAAAGGGGTTTGTGCTGAGGGGGGGGATTGGGTGTAAGTGTAAGCTAAAAAACTAGATCCATTTCCAAAGGAGGTAGTAGCTTAAAGTAAAATAAATGTTTATATTTATAAACTGTATTTGTAAAAAAATTAGGACCATCTAGTTTTTTTTCTTTCTGAAATAAACAACTTGATTTTGGACTCAGAAATGTTACAACATTTTTCCACGAAAAATAACTCATAACAATTCTTTTATAAAAACGAACTGACTCCTATAAATTTATGTTATGTTTTTATTTTATTTTAATGTTAAAAGTGTTGCGTTTTGTATGACAGATCGAAGGAGCCTCAAGATTAATGGAGAAAAATTACAACATTCAAGAACTAAATTTGAATTCGTATTCAGTGAGTTTATGACAATTAACAGAGTCTGTAAATGACCATGCTTGGACGTGTAATGTACGATAAGACATAACTTTGGGGGAATTAATGTTGAATGGTAAAGGTCAACTAATTGTTAGTTTGATAATATCTCTTGTGGTTTTAGAGAACAGCCGTACAGTAGTTCCACATTGAATCCACAACTGCAAGTCTATTACGTTTTTAGAGCCATATACCATTGACTATAAATACTAAACATAATCAATGCATATACTCTCTGTCTCCAGCGCAAATCTTGCACCTGGGTACAACTGCTAGCCAATATAACCTGGAGTCGCTCTACTTTCGCAGATGTACTCTAGTTACGAGTATAAATAAGACTATGACAGAGGCGTGTTGCGTTCTGTAGATGCCGAAAATACCGGAGTAGTGCCTATTAAATGTCCCATGGTAATAATTGATCGATTTGCTAAATCTGGTCATAGCTACTCCACGGTTTAGGATGGTAGAATGCACATACTCTATGAATTTATTTCGGTCGGAACTCAAAGACGTGAAATAACCATCATCAGGTAGTCAAAAAATATTAACATACTATCACAATTACAATGAGAGGTATTTTGAATAAAATCGTGTCATATTTCTACCTCGTTGCCGATGGCCATCTTTAGCATTATTTCAGGTGTACAAAATGCTACATTTAAGGGTAAGATGGATATCTGTAATGTGAAAATATGTTGTAAACAATACTCTAATCATCACATCCAACCTCCTACTAACACAAGTAGATTGGACTATCTTTATTCAGAAAATTTATCTATAGCTTGTTATGTTACGGTTGAAAAAAATAAGAGTATTTAATACTCACTAAATTACTTCAAAAAGTTATACGTCTGCTCATTCTTGGTCATATCAGGATGTTTCAAATAAGGGTGGCTTTACAGGGTGGCTGAAATGTAACTTGCACCCCCCTTAACTTTTAAACAATTTGAAATATTTGAAATTGGTTTGCGGCAACCTGCTTCTATAGATATGAGGGGCGAAGTCAGCAACGACCCCGTGGGAGAGCAGAGGGTTGGTCTAGGTCTAGTGGTGATTTAAACACAACATTGTTTAGTGACTTGTCTTGACTTTATCACAGTGCCCGTGTATGATGGACCAGCCCTACACAGGTTGGACTTGGTGGTTTTTCTTATCGCAAACCCTGGAATTTACCTAACCATTGTAGGCTGAGCTATGTGTTAAACATTTGCTGTTATTTTCTGCCCATGATCAAGACGAGACGTGAAGCAGTTTCCATTCCACCTCATTGATGAATACTTGCTACAATCAGTTAGAAAGACTCGTCAAGTCAAAGAGCACGATATCTCTTCGAGTGGTGATCAGCACGGCGGAATCTGAGGATTTTCAGTCGTAGTGATATATCATACAATTATTTCTCAAGAAGCTATTTGGTCGCGATTCTTTCAATGATGGTATTTCAAGAAACTGTTTTAATTGTGTTGATCTGTCATAAGTTGATTTATCAAGGAACTATTTTTTAATAGGTTGGTGGCATTTTCTTACCTTGCATTTGCCTGTCCACATAGGCTCTCCGATAGGTTTCATGGGACTATCTTAACTACATGCGCAAGCTCTAAGGATTCTTTTAGAGACAATTTGTCAAGAGCTATCTGCATGCGTGGGAATCTTTTATAAATGGTTTGTTAAGGAGCTATGTGTCCGAGAGGTTGATTTCTTAAAGAGTTGGTTTATCAAGAAGCTATCTACCCGATTGGTGGTATTTTAAGGACTGTTTGACCAGGACCAGGACTGTTCTGCCCGTGGGGTAGTCTCCAAGGCGCATGTTCCATGAGATGTTTCTTTCATGAGGAACTCTGAAATGAGGATTCAATGTGCAAATCGCTTAGCTTGAGAAATAATTTTACTGGTTCCCCAGATTTATTTTTCGAATATTTATAGAAGATTATGAACCAATGCGGTACACTGGGTACACTTAAAACTTTCTGAAGACAATTTAATTATATTAACTTTTAATTCGAGCAACTAATCATAAATTATAAAAGAACCCATTGTAACTATAAGTACAGATTGTAAAAGTATTGATAAACTTGCAGCTAGACTAATGTAGTTGAGGCAGAATTGTTTATCAGGCAAGGACAGACGGGCGGTGGCTATAATTCAGAGCTGTAACTACCCAGCGACGACGTAAGTGTAAATCCTGGCAAAGTATTGCCGCAGATGTGCATATTCGTGACCTCCTCCTTCCCCACTTGTGCTACCAGTCGCAAACTTAACTGGTACAAAAATTCAAAAATGTATTAAATTGGTTTTTTAGGTTATAGAACAACTCAAAAATAGCAACAAACATGTGCAAAATTTGTGTGCAAAATAGTTGTTGCAACGTTCACAAATAATTATCTGAATTTTTCTTCTGCAACTGAGTTGGATTCCTAGAGTAACCACTATAGTTTTAGATCTCTAGATTCGATCACTGTAAAATTTAATTCCTCTAGTTTATTAGATATTGATATTTGTGTAATTTACTAGATTTATTAATAACAAGGTATTTAAACGTTGGCTGTGGCTATTGTGTTGAATTAAACTTCATCCCATGTGACATATTATGTGCAATTTAAAATTAAAGCCATAAAGAAGTTGTGTAAAAGGTTTACATGTCCCCTAACCAGTGTCTGAAATACAGTACTATCATTCCCCTCTAGCTTACACCATTCGTTTCTTTCTTTTCTCCAAATAAATTTGTTTTAGTAGTTAAGTAATATTTTGAACAACAATTTAAAAGGATTCTAAAATAATTTTGCATTAGGCCCTTTATACCATTTAATTAATGTCGTTGGCAATGGAAAATAAAGTTTTGGGGCGGAATAAGCTAGGAACATACAGTATAGAGTCAGAATACGTTTTCAAAATTTGAGTAAGCTGTTCCACTGCCTTCTGCTTCATATATCAAGCCCTGTTCCCATCTACGGGATGTCCTAGGTAAAATTGCTCTTCGCACTGAGGTGGGTAATCCGGTAATGACGTAACTGGAGGTTGAATGAGTAGCAAGTGTCAGTGGAAGTTCCTCCTGGTGGATTGTGTAGTATTTATGTGGAAACGCGGCAAGATCTTCCGATGGCAAGGGGTTCTGTTGTCAAAATGTTTCAAATTCAACAGTGTAGCACTGTATGTTTTGCTTGCGACTGGCCTGTGCTGGACTTCAGTGACTAGTACCTTTGATTCATCTTAGTGACGGGAATATTCTCTGCTTACTTATTTTTCTATTATGGACATTATTTCCAGATAAATGAACGCTATAACTTCGTATTTTGGAGACTGGCTTAACAAGTCCTAATATACATACAGGCAAGGGCGTCACCCAAGGGGGGCAGGGGGGAGCCACCTCCCCCCCCCCCCCACCAATCATCTTTGAAAAGTATTAAAGTTGGGAATTTTTGGGTATTTGGAGGTATGAGTTGGGATTTTGGGAGATTTGAAACAGTCGTTTAACTGCCGACTTGAAGGTTTATTTTCAAACCAAGCATACATCTAACCTTATGTAGGAAACTAATTTAAGTAAAGAAGCGTTAATTTGTTCAGTAAATATAGTACATTACGTAAGGTATATGTAGAATGCCTACACAGAAGTAATTCAATATTTTTTAGGGAAATTTCTTTCTGAGCTGCGCGTGGATAGCCGTATCCACTGAGTGTTTATAAACAAATTGATTTTTTAAGAGACTGTAAAATTAATGTGTTATTTATCAGTAGACCTACAGTGTGAACATTTGTTGAGGCACTTCACACTCAATCAAATATTTAGATTGATAGTTAAATCAATAATGTGAGAGGAATTTTAATTTCTTGTTATTTGTGTATGTCAGATACAGATATTAAAGAACTTATTAACTAGTTGGGAAATCTGAGTAAATATAGTTGGGAAATTTAAATAATATAATTGGAAAATCCGCGTAAAATAGTTGGGAAATTCAAAGTGTCTCTCCCTCCCCCCCCCAATATATTTTTCCGTGTGACGCCCCTGGTACTAGGTACATAGCACATTTTTTACTGGTATACAATGTTTTTATTTTTCCAATTACATGTTCCTTTGATTGTTGTTGACTATAGATGTAACATTTTATTGATAGGGTCGCTGTTCACAATCGCAGAGATGCTGGAGCAGTATAAGCCGAGTTGGCCCAAACCTCCCCAGCCTCCGATGGGTGTTTGGAGACCTCACTCTACTTCCAGTCCAGTTCCTAGCCTCGATAACCAGGTAAGCCTCCACTTCAGACCCGAGAGCAGAATATCTAAACTATACACTTGCTGATGGTACTCACTTTCCAATTACTACTTGCTTAAAAAAGTGTGGAACTCGAAATTGAGGTGGGTCTCTGTACACAAGTTCAAGGATTTATTTTACTTTACAGCTATGGAGCTCACTATTGTAGTTGTTTCAATGTACCAAACAGTGGCCTTTGAATTTTCATGATCCATTTCACTACTATTTTTTATAGATGTATATCATTAAAATTACAAAAATTAAAGTATATTGTTATTAGCAACCTATTCCTTCCAGCAAAACTTGTTAGTTCCTGTACATTTTTGTGTCAATGTCAATTTCTTGAAATGTCTATACTAATTAGAATGTCAACATTTTATTTCTAAGAATATTTCATTTTGAATTTAATAGTTTTACTCTGTTTTCGTCAACAAAAGGATGCAGACTTTGCAGACTGCTTGATGTTTCACTTCAAGCTCGATATTGAAAAAGCTTGCAACATGCTAACGAATCAAAATAAATGATTACATTGAACACGAACGTAACACGAAACGAACAGAGATAGTCCTATCATTACTAATCGGTCCGGGTACGTCCACAATGCACGCTGGTATAAGCAGGAGTTAAATTGTTTATTTTGTAAAAATGTAATATTATAAACAATTTAATTAAATCAGCAGATAAATTTAAGGTAAAATGTTACTATATATTTTTTTTAAATTATGCACTTTGATGCGCTTATTAATTAATTATTAATTTGCTGGAACGTGTTGAACTATTGATGGCAATTGGTCGATATCCATGGTTAATGTAATGAAACCCTTATACACTCAATACAAAAACTAAAATTAACAGTCCGATATAGGCAGGTTGTCTGAAACCAGAAAGAACAATTCATTCCGGTAAAAATCTGAGTCAGACTACCTGCGCGCAGAAAATCGGCGCGCAGGTGCACTATGGCCGCTTACGTTTACTAGCATGGGATGATAAGCGCGCCGACAGTCTGACTCAGAAAACCAGCGTGCATTGTGGACGTACCCGCCCGGTGGTGGCAGTAGACGCCGGTTTTGTGTTTGGTTTTGTTATTTGTGTTGACATATCATAACCAATCATAACCAATCATAACTAAATTGGTTCAGAACAACCATACTTTTTTTGTATTACATAGACGGTGGGGTACATTTTGTTGCACTTGATTTTTTTGAAATAAATTAACTTTTTGTTAACAAATAAATCATGTCAGAGATGATCATATAAAAGTATTGTGCGTGAACTTGCAAGAGTGAAAAGGCGAGAAAAGGAAGGAGAGAGGGACAAATAAACAATCTGGTCTGAGATATTTATTTATTTTAATTGGAGTGTGAAGCAAAATATTGATAGAGACTGGTGTTGTGGTAATGGCCAAACAGTCGCTCTTTTCCTTCCACAGTTTAGCGGTTCATAAAAAACAAAGCGAGCTTTTAACTGGACAAACAGTTATTTAGTTCTCTTTTTCAAATAGAAAACATTTCGTTCTTTGTTGCGGAAAAACATATTTGCGCCCTCTTGTGGATTATTGGGGAGTGAATTTCTTTTACACTTCATCAACAATAGCTTTTATAAAAATAAAATTACTGTCCTCACTAAGCTCATATTTTACTACTTTAGAGAATAAAATAAAGCAAATATTCATACATCATTATTATATTATGGAAATAGTGATTTGTTTGTGTGATCGTGTAAATAGTGGACCTAAGTTTTAGGACAAGCTTAAAATATGACGAAAGGCTTGAATTTTAACCGTTTATTTTTTTATAACATACTGTACTTAATAATATTTCATGCTTCTCAATTATCATTACCGCTGCGCTAATATAAGAAATAACCATCCTGGTAACATATGGCTCAAATAAAAAAACAGGGTGTGACAAAAGCTCACTTCATATAACCATGATTTCGGTAATGATTACATATAAATTTGAACCTTTTAGGCTCACAAATTTAACTACATTCACAACCAGGAACTGTCTCTTTGCTTTAGTTCAACCATTCCTCAGAATACATTTTATGCTAATTATTTATCACTAATGTTAATGTTCCTGTTGTTATTAGTTTTCACCACGTCCTTAAGTAGTACTTAGATTGGATAAATTTAAAGGATATATTGAGCAGAGGCAAAATGTTTGTTTTAATTAAATATGAAGAAATTAAAACAAAACCAATATTAAAAAGTCAAGGGAAAACGTAGCTTTTTCACTTTAGAGTTACAATAGCAGCTGTAAAAGTGAAATGGCTCTACTACTCTGTTGAGAGGGTTGTTTTTGCAAGAGAAAGAGAGAAACCGCTGATGAATGGGCAGATCAATGTGAACAGACAGACAGACGTTTTAAGGCGGTGACACACTATCGATCTTTTCCCCGATCAAGACCCCGAACCGAGCAGGGAGAAGGGAGATAAATATCAGCAAAATTTTACTCCGAACATTTCCCCGAACATGACAAAGACCAGACGAATTCTACAGAGCGCGGCAAAAGGAAGTTTGGAGAGAGATAGAGAGTTTGTGCGAGTGAGAGCGCGGAACTATCAATGCTAGCGCAGGCGGCCGCTCGGTGCGGCGCTCGCGACGATGTACGGGGCAAAAATGTACCGTGACACACTATCGTACATCGGACCGATCTTTTCTTTGATCTTTCGCTAGAAAACCGCCTCCAGAGCGCTCGTCTCCCTGCTCGGCCTGATGTCTTGTTCGGCGTCTTGATCGGTGTACGGACCCGTGACACACTATCGAACATCCTCCCTTCGACCTCCCTTCTCCCTTCTCCCTGCTCGGTTCGGGGTCTTGTTCGGGGAAAAGATCGATAGTGTGTCACCGTCTTTAATATAAGAACTGCTCATCACTGAGGGGGAAACAGTTCCAACCCCCCCCCCCCCCCCCCGCCCAGTCACGCCTAACTGTGTTGCTCCTTTCCTCCTCATACTTATTCCCTATTAGTGCTGTTTTCTTTCTCACCACTAAACTCTTATCAGTTCCACCTGATTCTCTTGAGATACCTAAGGGTCTTCTGTATATTATTCGCAATTTAATTTGCTTGAAATAGCTAGTATTTTAAAAATGATTTTGAACTATGGTATGACTTATTGATTTATTTCTCATTCCTATTATCGAAGATAAAAAAGGGTGTCCATAGAAATATTTACAAGGGAAATCTTAAAAAAATTAGTAACATTATGGGAAAGTTTTGGTTTTCTGTGATGGTGATCGTGCAACAATATTAATTCAAAATAAATACAACACCATAACCCTACACGAATAATTTACATGGATTATGCAGCTTGTAGTAGAATAAACGGTATCAGCAATCTGACACATATTTTCTCCAAATAGCTTGTCAACAACCTGTATCATGGGTAATTTTTGGGGTAAGTATGATATTTTATGGGGGAAAATCACAAAAGTTGCAATAGATTTTAAACCGTATTTGTTACAGCAATGAGGGATTGCACTGTGTGGTTTAGAATTATAAGAACCATACACATTAATTTTAATCAAAACCGGCTTTTTCCTAAAATCAGATTTTTTTTATTTTATGCGGTTTTATTGGAAAATAAAAAAAATTTACAATAGCCTACCTTTTGCACCGTAATTTTTACAGAAATTCGAATTATACCATTTTGTTCAGAATAAAAAGGGTTACAACATACTAAATGTATATCAAAATCGTTCGGGCCATTTTTGAGAAAATTATATTTTTCCGTTATTTTAAATAGTTTGTTTTGGGAAAATCACCATCAAACATCAAATTTCAAAAAATGAAAAACACCTGGAGATACCATGGATTAGTACCTACAAACAAATTTCATCAAAATCGGACCACAGGTGTAGTCTGTAGCTCTGTACACATCGACACTTAAAGACACACAAACGCAGACATCACTTCGAAAACCACTCTTTTGGGTCCAAAAAGGGTATATCCACTCAAAACTCAAACTCGAAAATTTTTATGAAAACAATACTTTCTCCATATATGTTATAGGGGGAGAAAGTAAAATGCACGGCTTTGTATACAGACACTTTTACCAAGTTAAAACTACTCTCTCAATATAGTGCAAATTTTTTTAAATATATGTACTGTGAGATATTGATTGTTTTGGGTTTATTTTAAAATATTGGTGCAAAATTTTTAAATAATGACGTTTTGCTTTTAAATTTTATTAGTTTTTTGTTTATAAATTTTAAAATATTCAGAAAGTACATGGATAACAATACACACAAGGACTTCTGTACTATGTTTGCCTGGAACGTGCTCAGGGGAATTTACTTCATAAAATAATAACAATAACGCTTTTAAAAACTAAGATTTTGCTACAGTGAAGAGAAGACAACATAAAGTTTTGGAGTAGTGAAGCTAAATATATATTGCCAAATGAGTCTAATAATTACATGTTTTAAGATTTCTTTGAGATCCCATCTGAGTATTTAGTTAAATTATTTGTAAACTGAACTTGACTTTAAAAACAATGTGTGTATGTCGTTAGCACGATAACTCATGAAAAACGTCCGATTTTGATGAAATTTGGTACAAGTGAAAACCCACGTTTATCAGAACGAATTCGTGAACTAGCTCAATCAGACTAAGGAAACAGGGTTAAAAATGTATTTTCTCCTCTTGACCCCAACATAAAATTTGGCAATTTCCCTCTAGACCATTTTGTTAAGCTTTAAAACTTTTTAATTCATTAAACTAAAATGCGTTATTGTACGTCTAAAGGTTACGAAGGAAAATTTAGGACCGTAGACTTAAAATACCCACGTTATTCCAATGGAGAATAAATAAACTGCTGTACTTTGCTTGTTTATGGATATTTTTGCAACAGGTATGTGTTTGGCCTTAAATTAAAAAAAAAATATTGTAAGTATAATGAATCATCTGTTTTCATCCCATGTACTGAATGTGGTTGGCAGAACAAGTATTTGGCCAGTCATCAAAATATTTACTCCTTATGCTATTTTATCGTTATGCTATACTATCTGCTACCCCTATCTGTAACCATGCGGCTGTTTAGAACCTTAAGACAACAACAAGATGTTTTATGGTTTGTTCGATCTTCCTAAATGATTTCGTGACCTTCTTATACAAATGAATTAATTATATTCGCTATAACAATTCCTAACAATTAAGTCAACAATGTATTTTGGGTCCAGTAGACTGGTGCACAGCCATCTCTTGTCCATGTCTGATGATTTCTGTTAGGACGAAATTAAATATCTACATCATAAACAGAATATTGATTGTATGTTTTAGTCTTAAATTCATATAACCTTTTTTAACCTGTGCAGTTTTTGAAACGTGTTGTGAACAGGTTTTGGTTATTAGTCATTCATTTACTTCCTTAGTTTCTTCAGCCTTCATCAGGCTTCATACAGGAGTATATCCAAGAGCAAAAGTTGTGAACGTTACCTCTTCAAACAAAAACTTAATTGAGAAGCCATGTGTTTTAAATACAAATTACTTATCCATATCAAACTCAGGGATTCCAAACTGTTCACACAATTATGTTAGGAATAATCCACAATAATTGGGAAAAACTGTCTGCTGCCGATTTCAAGAAAACTTCTGGCTCAATGTCCCGAGCTAGACCAGTAAATCTACATGATATGTGAGTGAACAAAGCTAATAAAGCTTTCATTGACTGTCAAAACTTTTCAGTTTCGGTAACAAATCTAGATATAACTCTCTTCAGATATTTTAATCAACAATGTTATACGTTTTATGACCAACAGCAAAAGCTTAAACTTTCTAGAAGTTAAATACTTTGTTGTTTAGAAATATGATTACGTAAATAATACTGTTTCCCTAATTTGTATGTGTTTAGTTGGGTGTAAAGAGTTTTAAAAATTAAATAGGCCTAACACAACACGATTGTACTTAAGGAAGCACGAAGCACTTAAAGTGTAATGTTTAAAATCAGCATCAACCCAGTGTAAGATTATAAATGTAGGTTAATACAATAAGCTCCAACTATATGAAACCGTGCCATAATCAGAAATTCTGTTGGTTGGATTTTTACAGAAATTTGTGTTATTTAAAAAAAAATCTAGTCGAGCTTTTACTATTGTGATTGAAGAACGTCTGCAAAAGTGTTTTGATATAAAAACTCACGCATTTTCCGCGATCGCGGAGGGCGATTATGATATTGGGCGGAGACAAGGATGACGTTTACATGACCGCGGAAAATGTTCAAGATTTTACTTGTGATCGCGGAAAACGGTGAAGAGTTTTCATGACCGCAGCAGACGATTATCATGTCTACGCGATCGCGAGACAGGGCTTGGGTTTTGCCGCGATCGCGGCTTCTATAATGATAACGATTCTTATTACTGTGGTTTTAAAATGTTTGATTATTTCTGTCGGAGATTCGGATAATCAGTGATTTGCATAGTTGGAGTTGGGATAATTGGAGTTCTACTGTAGTTATATTTTCATCACAACTAGCAATAAAGCAACAGATGCAATTGATTTCCACGCAACACAGTTTGGGTTTTCTGCTTACATCAATGTTAGATGATCCTTGATATAACTTGGCGAGTGATATAGTAGTGGTGATGGAATCTCACAATACAAGAAAGCGAATATGCATTGTTACAAATGATACGCCATCATTTCTATCTTCCTTTCTGTTGTTGTGTTATATGATATATCGTAGTACATTTATCTTATATTTTGTTATACGCAAGAGATTATTAGAGCTTGAGTACTTTGAAGGATGGATAATACGATTCTTTACTTAAGAACAGACTATATTTCTATGTGTTTAATTAAAGGGATTTATTCAGGCAGTTTTTGTTTGCTCGTGAAAATTAGTTTTTGTTTGTTCAACGAGGAGAGTTTATAAATTGGAAATTTCATCACATTGACAATCTTTATGGTTTTAAAATAATATTTATCTTTCATTTAACTTATAAACAGTACATTACACATATTTGACTTTCAAAAATAATTAAATCAATTTTTATCCAAAATCTAAGCTTAAAAATTTGTTTTGTTGTTTACATTGAATATAAATTGGACGGACAGTTTGTCATACATTTGTTGTTGTCGCACCCAATGATTGGATGTGGATGTGAGCTATGAAATTGCTATCCGCGGCGATGGCGAATGGAGTGCGTTCAGCTGATACATTATATAGACTTGCCAGACTTCTTGGATATCTTGGCAGACTTAGAGAAGCAGTAATGTTACATGAAACGCTCCATGACTTTTAAGCCCTCTTTTATTGGGTTATAAAGTGGAGTTATAGCAACAGACATATTCTGTTCATATTGTATAGGCCTCATTGCATGCTCTATTTCGGCATTACAAGACGCAACAACAGATCCATTCTTCTGTTTGTCTACTTAAGTAGCGAAGAATCATTTATTTTCTCTCATATAAAGATATTTTAATAGTTAGCTTCTGAAAGTTAAGTTAATTGTTGTGGGTTAATGTAATGGTACAACCCCATTACATTAAAAATTAGATATCAAGAGTTATTGCAGCTCTTGTGTTTTCCCCATAAAAATATCATAGTTACTCCCACCACTTACCCATGATAAAGGTTGTTGACAATGGGAGAAAGTATATGTATGTAGTCCTGATACCTTTTATTTTTATTTCAGCCTAACGGCAATCAACTAAAAAATTAAATATACTGTATACATACTGTACATAGCCGCCTTTTGCGAGTTTTTATCCCAATATTAGGGATTTTGGAGGATTTATTTCAACTATATAAATGTTTTAAATATGTTTTTCCTAGATTATAAATGGTAATTTGGATTTTGCTTTAGTAGTATTCTGGTTAAGGCACACATCTGCACACAGCTGTATGCCACTCTTGGAAACTTCCATTCCAAAGCCCCACTTCCTGGGAAGACACAGGGCTGGACACTCCTCAGTATTGATTGTTGTAAAAGTACATTTGGTTTGTTGCAGAGTGTGAGGCCTCCCAGTTTTTCTCCCTTTAGCTCAAGTTTACCGTTGGATTCACTAGTTTCCTGGTACAATAACAACAACGGATTCGACATCCAAGTAACACAACCCTTCAGCCCCATCTCGCCAGTTGGTGGTCCTGCACCCAACGCGTTGCGAGGATACTCACCCAACAACCAACACAGGTTAGTTTGTACAAAATTATCCTAACGTTCGGTTTCAACAACAGTTGTATGTTTTTCAAAAGACTATCTATAATCTAGGCCCGAGGTTTGCATGTGAAAGGCTATATTGGGTCCAAGATACATTTGCGCCCCCTTACCCCCTTTTTATGAATGTGTTTTCTTCTTTGCGCCCCCAATACACATAAAGCCCCTTGCCCAACTCCATTTACTAAAGGTGCCCTGCTATAATCACCTTTCAACCGACGGGGGTTACCTAAAACCCCAATTTGGCAAGGCCGTAGCCGGGGGGGTAAGGGGTCAAACCCCCCCCCCACGAAATCCCGAAATTTAGTAGTCAACATTAATACTGGGTTTAAAATTAAATTATAAAATGTAAATCATAACAGAGGATCCAACAACATAACAACATTAACATTGTGCATTGCATGCATACTAATTTTTTAGATTTTTTTTAAATTAAAATACAAGACACAAAAATGCACAAGTATAAATATCACATGGATGCAGTAGGTTACAGCCTTACTCCCTACTGTCGGGGAAAAAAGTTTAGACACTCGAGTTTGGAGCTCTACAGAAAAGTAACCGAATAACTTAGAAAAACGCGTAGTATATATACATTTTTGTTGTTTTATTCTACGTATTCCTGTGAAAACAAAAAATTTTAGCTCGTTTAGGAAATTTTTTATGACAGTCGGAAGGAAAAAACTGCCTGTTTTTAGAGTACCAAAAACCATCTTATGAATTTGAAAATTCGCACAATGTAAACTAAACGGCAGAACTTTATCAAACTTTAATACAATATGGACACATATATAATGAATTAATTTGAGTAGTTTCAGGATTTTTTCTCCACCCAAAAAGTGTTTGTTGTAACTTTTGTAAATCAATTTTTTTCTCAAATACGGCAAACGCTAGAAAAAAATTTAAAAGCTTGTTTTGGAGGTGATTAGTTTTGTATTTGAAATATTGATACTGCTCAACCAAATTGTTACGCACATTATTTTATTAGTAGTCTTTGCCGTGCGCTGCGTGACTGTAGTACTGTAGAGTGCGCGTGCGGTGCGATCCAGAATATAGCATATTAACTCATAGACTATCCGCTAGGGGGCACTAGGTACGGGGTGCAGGCGGCAAGACCAAGACGCCAACCAACACGTGCTGCTGCTGCTGCTGGCGCCGTCTAGGTTGGTTAAGGTCTCACGGACGCAGGACGCACGGTGCACGGTGACAAGACCAAGTGTAGTGTAGTGTGTAGTGTGTAGGCCTACCTGGTATCAACCAACGTATCAACTAACGAACTGAGTGATTAAGCGCCAAAACATGGCAGAAGGAGGGTTAGTGCTGTTTAACTTACCATACTAATACACATAATTAGCAGATAACTTCTGTTATGTTTTCTATTATTTTCCCCACTTTTTTTAAACTTGCTTAACGATTTTGCACTATAACCGATTTATTTACCTATTATTATGTTTTGCAATATCCATTCATATTTAATGTAATTCTAATAAATCTGATCTATTAAATAGGAATAGGTATTAAAACTATGAAGTATTTACAATATAGAGTAGCCTACAATACGTTTTGAGATTTATGAATGCAATAGGCATAACAGTTTTTTAAATGTCTATTTGCTCATGACAAACAACAGGTGAAATGGGAGTTTATATGGACAATTGGGCACGGTTTTAGGTGTTAAAAATGGCTTTGAAAATTCCAAATTTTTCCGGGGGAGGACCCCCAGACCCCCATGCTTTATTGGCCCCTGCTTTATCAAACCCCCGGTGGCCACCCTCTTGTCAAGGTCCTAAAACCGAACCGACCTGACCCCCCCCCCCTCCCGAAAGTTTGTCCTGGCTACCGCCTTGCAATTTGGTAATAACAAATAAATGCGTTTCATGCAGCCGTCGCCACTGTACTTTTCGTAAAAGTATTGATAAAGAGTAAAACATTAAATAGGCCTAAATATTTTCTCTGTTTGTAAACACAGTTGTTTGTGTACTTGCAGTGATTGCAGCAGCCCATTGATGGATTCATTCGGCAGTTTCAATAGAACTTCTCATTCCACATCACCTTCCAACTCAGACTCCAGCATGGTGGTGAGTAACAGAACAATACTCGGCCAGGGAATTTACACCTAGATGTTCACCTTCCATCCCCCATTTTCCCACCTTCCCACCTTTGTTGCCCAAGTGTTCAAGCCTTAGTTAGTTAAAAGCATATAAAGATTCATCAAATAGCTTTTATACAACTTAAATTATTACTGGGGTAATCATTCAATCACATTCCTATTCAGTATTTTATCATGATGGCTATTAGATTTCTAAATGTTCTTGGATTTCCACATCTGACTCTTAAACCATTTTTGCGAATGAGAACAACTCCCTGTCTTTCTGTCAAGTGGCTTGTGGTTGGACAATTAACTTTTATCTGCAGTTATATTTATAAATTAAATATGTTTGTTTTAATTTATATTGAATCGTTTAATTGGCTGCAACGGCAATCAAAAGCATTGTTTGAATATAATTTGAGAATTTTTGAATCGTCAATTATGTACTCATTCTCAAATATAATTACATTTTTGGACCTAATCTATTTAGGTTTGTTTATTATGTCATGCTCTAGGTACCCTCCTTGCTATTTGTATAACACGAAAGCAGGTCTATTCCCCGATCATAGAACTGTGCTGTCACTCAATAGTATCTTGATTCTTCGGAAGAAATTTACATCTAACATACTGTACCAATTTAACTTAGTTTGAAAGCGTACAAAATTGCAATATTATATTGTAGGCTACATTTCATTACTGAACACAGTTATAAATTAATTATAAAATCCACCTGTAATCAGTAGTTGTTTTCTATTAGGCCTAATTGGCATTTTCACAGCAAAATTTTCCATTTCAATTAGGTTAAAAAAAGTTTGGTTCAACAGATCGACAACCCATCATTTTGCAGAGTAATTTTGAACCGCATTTTGACTGTGGATATGCCCCAGTCCTCACGGCACGGGTTGGACTGGGATTCTGTGACATGGGGCTTTGGAGGTTGAACACTCCTGATCAGAAGACTTAAAATTAAGATTAACGGTGTATTTTGGTTGAATTGCCTATTTACATATCTAAGTTATATAAAATGTTTTGCATTCATGTCAGTCTCTGGTTTTAAAATGTGTTAGTTTGTGTAAGTTGAAAAAAATATCATACACCGTCAATCCCTTTTATGTAATAGATGAAAAAATTGTAATAAGTAAATAGATGTGTGGTGACAGGTTGTCGTACACAACCTGCCACCTTGGATATTTGTTGCGGCAATGGATAAAATATAATAATGTAATGGATTTTTGGCAGTGTATTTTGTCTTGCCTGTTTGAATGAAAATAAATTTTAAAAACTTTTCCAAGTCCTCACATTTTCAATCAAGCACAGAGTGTATTCAGTCGCAGTGCCATTAAGTACGTGTTACAACCTATCTAGATATACTGTAATACAGTATGTTCCTAGCATGAACTGTACTGCTCTGAAATTTGATTAAGAAACCTGACTTGGAAACATAAACGTAATCAGCATTTGGAATTATGGACGTCGCCTTTTGCAGCAGTCTCTGAACTTGTCTGGGGGTGTCTTCTCTCCGCCTACGGAGCAGGAGCTGGCCAACCTGAGAGCTCTACACTCGCTAACCTGGCCTTCAAATGAGAGTTCGGTACTGTCTGAACGTGCCCAACCCCAACCTGCGGCTTCTGCTAATCAAACCAAGAACCAAGCATCAGGTAAGAAACTCGAGCGAGTTGTATTTGATTCATCTAAGGTAAACTTAGCAATTTTTATTACAGAATGTGTGGATCTATTAAACATTCTATTTATGAAAGGGTTGTCAAACAATAAAAAATGAGTTTAAACAATGACACTTGGCAAAGAAATTATTTGGCAACTAAGTTGACTACAAGTAAAGCCTTGTTCACACGGGGCGAGTTTACAAGCTACTCGCCAGCGTGTAAGAAGCCGGCGAGTTGGCGAGTGTGCTTGTATTTGTTCACACGGAGATTGTCCACTCGCCAACTCGCAGACGTGTGGAAAGACGCCGGCGAGTGCGCTTGTAGTCGTTCACACGATGCTTTTTCCACTCGCTCAGTAGCTGGCTTGAACCAAATCCTCCAACATCTTTGAGTAACAAGCGCACAAGCACAAGCAACTGTGTTCACACTGGGCTACTTTACACGCCTACTCGCTCAAAAGCTGACGAGTTGGCGTGTAAAGTAGCGGCAGCGTCAACTTTTTTCAGAGCTTTTTTACAAGCAGCTTTTGAGCGAGTACGTCGTTCACACTGAGCTATTTTACTAGCTGCGTGTAAAAAAGCCGGTGTGTAGCTTATAAACTCGCCCCGTGTGAACGGGGCTTAACAAAATAACTGATGTATATTTAACAAGCAGGTATAGGTAACTTAATTTAATTAGACTAAGCTTAAACATAGTGGGTTGGGAAGAAGACCAATCTATTTAAAAATAAATTGTAGTTACAAGATTTATATAAAGGTGCATCTTCTCACTTGCAGAAACTAAGCCATTGAAACTAGCTATTCTTTAGTAAATATGCTCCTTTAAGGCTTGGTGATGTGGTTGTTGGCTACTATATACTGTACAACCTGATTTGGTCACTTCTGATCAAGATTGTGTATTTCTGTTCAGCTCCTGTATCAACAGACGCGATGACTTGGTGTGGCGTGTTGCCTGTTCGGATTGAAGATGAACCAATGTATTCTAGCAAGGTAAGCAAAAAAGTTTAACTCTCTTCTCCTTCTTCACAAATGTACACATTTGTTAATCTCTTAACTCTCCATCAATATCTCCTTTAATATATAATAACATAATTATAAATAATGTAGTGGTATTAGCTTAGTCCTGCAAACATTTCTTAAAAATGCTTTTCCTGGAGTAAACGTAAAATGCTAGTATTGCTCTGCTCAGAGACAATTACTTGACCTACCGAAATATATTATTTTATAAGTGGCTGCTGTAGTATATTACGCTACAATGCTGGGAAGTAGGTGTTTATACCGTTTCATAATGAATAATATACAGTAATGTGAGTACTGTTAACATATTCCCAGGTGAGTTGCATACTATCAACAAGTTTTATTCAGACATGCAGACTAACATAATACAGGGTGTGTTGATATGGTTCATAGACTGATTTCAGGAAAAGAAATGTTTTGAACATTTATGGATAACGGACTAAAAATCTTCAAAATAGTTTCCTTTTAAGTTAACACACCTCTCCCAGCGAGTTTTCCACTGGCAGAACTCAAAGGCTCCCTGCAACTCATTTAAGAATTATGTTCAGAATTTTCGAACTGCTGCGGCGCCGAACCGCTTCCATTTCAAGTCCTTCTTCACACGGGAGAACAACAAGAATCTCTGGGAACGAGGTCCAGGTTGTAGAGCGGCTGCGTAAGCGTCGTTACGTTGTTTCAGACCAAAATCTAAATTACTCCTTAACTGCCACAAGCTGCTACTACTTGTCGTCCCTGAGAGCACTTTAGGTACAAGTTTGTCAAAGACCTTCCTCATCATCAAATGTTCAGAAACTATTTGAAACACTAGTCCAAATTCATTCCATCCACTATGAGTCTAATGCTCAAGCATCAATCACTATTCAGAACATCGGCACTTTAACCAGATTTTCTTCGTTCCTTGACGTTACAGGCCTTCCAGCACGATCATCGTCTTCGAAGGCATCTTCAAACTGATTTGGTCAAATGAAAACCATGGCATATCTCACAGGCAAACCGAGGAGGGTTCAATGGCATACCTGAGACCACCCTGACCGCTCGTGACCGGGATGTGCTCCACTTCATGAGAAATAATGAGTCTTGAAACCTAAATAACACACCCTGTATCATTAACAATATTTTTTTCGTGGGGAGGAGGTAAAAATGCATTTACGCACACTGAGATGCTCAATGGCCTCTCAGCAGTGCTGGACTCCCGCGGGCTCAATGTCCTCAGACTATAGGCTAAAAAACCCCCCTCATCTCCTAGGACACTAGCCTGGAACCGTTTAACACATTACTTTGGGCTAGGTATTTTTTATGAACTAGGGCACTAGGGCTTTCCTTCTTATTTCCTCCAAAAACTAAGGCCAATGAAGATCAACCTTTTTAGCCCGAAGGATAGCCTCGGTTAACTGCTTTACACAGTTCCTCCCCCTGGAGCATAGCTCCAACAATGTTGTCTGGAGTAATGTCGACACCAATCTCAGAGATCAAGGAGGCTTGGCGGACATGCCACCTGTTACAAAAGAAGGTGTGCTCGGCCGTGTCTGCAATGTCCGGGTTGGGGACTGTCCAGAAGAGTCTGAGCTGACGGCCTTCCCCATTCTGTGCAAAAAGGCCCGGAAATATCCAGAAATTAAATACCCAACCTCACCATGCTCCCGTTCCACCCATGGTCGGATGCTGGGAATGAGCCTGGCGGTCCAGATCCCCAAGACTCGGTGTCCCAGCGGTCGCGTTCTTCTTTGGCAGCAGTCTCTCTGTATACTTCAGATCTCATGCAGTAGATCGCTTGTCATCAGTATGTGGCTTTTGCAGGAGCGGGGACTGCCGACGTTTGGCATAAGTCTACTAAGGGCAGCAACTTCCTTAGGGACTTTGTCAACAGTTTGTTTAGCTAACTAATACTAATTAAATTAACAATCAACTATATTAACTAATAACTAATTAACTCTACATTAATATCCACTATCATTTTGCCACTTTTTTAACCAATCTTTACCAATCTTTTTTATCTTTGGTTGTTTTTGTTCATGTTTTTATATGAAGTACTCAAAACTCATAGGCCTACATGTTTTTGGATTCAACAGGCAGCAGATTTGAGCAAACTTCTTAAGAACTAACTAGGCCTATTATTTTGTGTGAAATTTCAGAATATTGTTTATCCTATGGATCTTCTGTAATACATTATCACAGTTCCCACACAATGGCGGTTGTCAATTAAAGTGAACCAAACTAACAAACTATTAGCATTGTTGCAGTGGGCATGTGTATCAGGCTTAGGGGAGAGAGAGGTAATCTTGTCATGGTGGATGAGATATACTTTCATTCAGCCTTTATCAATAGTGACAATAAATTTACCAAACTCCAGCTGACTTTACGATTCCTATCTGTAAACGACTTTCTGATCAAAAATGAGTACAGAAACCAACTGTTTACTGTGTAGTGTACTTACACCAGAGAATGTTGAACAACTCCATTAACAACTCCATAATATCATAACGAATAGAAAAATTGATTTTGGCATTGGGGTAAAAACATTTTTTGGCGCGTTGTGTGGATACAGTAAAAGCGTGCTAATCCGGCATCAGTCGCAAGATCTTAGAACATATTTTGTATACTGTTTTAAAGCCAATTTTAATGTGTTTGTAGGTGTTCCTGGGTGGAGTTCCTTGGGATGTGGCTGAGGATACGCTAGTCAGCGTGCTTAGTCAGTTCGGCAAAGTGAAGGTGGAATGGCCGGGCAAAGAGCACCTGGCAAGCCATCCAAAGGGTTATGTTTACGTGATTTTCGAATCTGAAAAACAGGTATAGGAACATTAATTGACTTTTCTCTTGTTTAGTTTTATAACTAAACAATGATGGTGGATCATGACTTGCACAATGGTTCAACGTTTCTCCAAAGTAAATAATATCTAATAAATATACAGTTTGTATTTATAGAAAATGTAAAGTATCGAAACAATGGAGAATGTACTGGTATAGTTTTGATTACTCTGAGTTGATTGTCTTGTTTAGGCCTATAACATTGGTTGGCCTGCAAAATGTTCAGGTTATCCCATGGGTCTGAGGGAGATAAGGGTGAATTGTGCTAGCTCTCAGTTCGAGCCATTATTTGATTTAATATACTCTTAAAACCAATGTTAAATAGCACTTTGAAACATGTGTACAGTGTTTTCAAAAACTTGTATCTATTTAAATACATAATAATTTTCATAGTTCATGATTGAAGTTACTATTTTTTAAATTATGTTACTTTGATGTTTTGAATTTAGTTAATTGCAGTAGGTATGTGAAATGGTTTTTCCTTCTAACGACAAACTTGAACATTTCAAAAATGTAATTTTACATTCTTCTGTCTTAGGTCAAAGCCATGTTGAATAGTTGTCCCAGGAAAGTATCAACGAAGAATGGGAGAAAATGGTATTTCCGCATTTCATCTAGAAAGATGAAGTCAAAAGAGGTAAATTATGGTTAAATATAAATATTTTGTGTATGAAAACAACAGATCTTGTGTTAAATGTTTGAAATAATAGCCTCAGGAAAGTGTCAGAAAAGAAGTGTGGTATAGTCTTCCATTCACAATCTTTGTATTGAGGATGAACAATGCTGGTGTGGATTTCAGGTCTGCTACAACCAGGAGCCTACTTTAATGTAATTGATTCAAGGTGGGAAATGAAAGATAGATTATATGATGTCAGAGAATTGGCTTTCACAGCAATTTATGGCACTGTCTGAAGAAAGGGTCTTGTATATAAATTCTCAAACGTTCCTTGTCTTGTACTTCTGCTCTAAATGTCATGAGATAGAATGTACATGGTTCTGTGGGGAGTAATGGAAGCAGTTTCAGGAACGTCAAAGGCTAGTTTACATAGCTTATTTTTCTCTAACTCAGTCCAGAAAGTTCGATATGCAGATTGCTGTGGCAACTCTAGCTACAAATTACTTGGCTGTAACAGAGACCTGAGACGACCTTGCAGCGTCAGAGGCTTATTTGTCAACCAAAAGCTTAAACCTAAACTTAAGATGCACTCTAAGCCTCAAAACTTCCATAGGTTATCAGTCCTCTGTGACCAATTTTTCCCTAGTACTTTTACCTAGTGTAGCCTAAATAAACCTCTGTACCTTAATTATTCCCATTTTGTTATCTGTGAATACTGATGGCTTGGAATTAAAATATACATAGCTGTTGGAGTTCCTCTCACTCAGAGGAATTACAAAAGTACACAGAAAACAAATTATTTGGAATTCTAAGGACTGGGTTCAGTTGACATGAGTATAGTTTGTAAGAGCTCGGAATTAAAATGTATTTAGTTTATGAGTTCTGATCACTCAGAATAATATTTACTAGCGGTACCAAAAAAACAAAATTATTTGGAAAAGCTCAATCGGAGACTAAAACAATCAAAATTGATTATCATTGTAACATATTTGATTTATTTTTACCATACGGATGTTTACAAGTATAAGTGTAAATATATCGGTTAGTGTTTGACGACATATTTGATCTATTATAATCCTATAATAGTGTCAGCACGTAATATGCTAATCAAGAAGTTGTTTACAGGAGTTCTGATCACTCGGAAATAAAATCACTTGGAGTTATGGGATGGTCCCAAATCTGCCGCCCGCTCGGCCCATCCCTTGGGCTGACTTTGTACCCTTCAAAAAAGAGAAAAATCTTACGATACTTAGTAGAGTGTGACAGTCTGAGTTTATGTTTACAGGTGCAAGTGATTCCATGGTCTCTCATGAACAGCAACCATGTCCTTGTCCCGGCTCAGAAACTGGACCCAAACACAACAGTTTTTGTCGGAGCTTTGCACGGAATGCTCACAGCAGAGGGGCTGTTTGCAGTCATGAATGATCTATTTGGTGGTGTGGTATATGCTGGTAGGTTAAACATTATATGAGGGATTCATTCTTTTGAACCATTAGAACATTAATTTGTATTATTACCAACTGAGATGGTGACGCCACCTAGGTGTGTATTTTAACCAAATATTAGAGGAGGGTGAGTGTAAAATAAAGTGTGAAGATCCGTCTAGCTTTGTTACTGACCAAAATCAGCCTTTTCTTTAACCAGGTGGAAATGGCCAATAACAATATGTACTGAGTTATAAGAAATTAAATTGTAAGTGTATCAAAATCTACATTTCATTACAGGTCATGTGGCACATTTTACTGACCCAAACATAGTGTTAATCATAAGCAAATTGTAGCGTCTAAGCCTTCTAGTCATTTAGGTTGAAATTTTTTTGAAAAAAAAACCCTCATACGCTGATAAACATTTCCTAAAATTTGTCCCTGAATTCATAAAAAAGAAATGAACCTATCAAAATTCAGGAATTTTCTAAAAGAGCATATAATAAATCTAGCTTTATATTCTTTTTATGGGTTTTCCACCTCCCAGAAATAGAAATTGTAGTTTTATTTTATGTATCTGACACTATTCACAGTAACACCAATGTACATGATTTACGATGAATAAAGATGTTTGAATATGAATATATAAATATTTATCAGTTTTCCAGTGGTAAAATAATATTTATGACATTTGATTGTGAATGTTTAGTTGCTATTTTCAGTGGGACATTGAACTATAAGAAATTATCATATTTTATTTGGAGACTGTTACAAACTTGTTCATTGTATAAAACATGTGTGATATTTGTAACCAACTGTACACACATATGAATTCAAGAATTGAGTTTGTAGCTGGAAATCCCAAGCTCAGAGGGACTGAAAACTCTTATATTATAAACAGCAAAACTCTTACAGCTCTGTTCAACAAAGTATAAAGTTTGCTGGAACTCACCTTTGTCTGAATGTTTTTTTACTCTTATAGGAATCGATACCGACAAATACAAGTACCCCATCGGCTCAGCGCGAGTGACCTTCGATAATCTGAGCTCTTACATTCTAGCAGTGCAGACAGCCTTCGTCGAAATAAAGACTACCAAGTTTTGCAAGAAGGTGAGGCAGTTTATACACCCTGTTATACCTGTATAGGGGTCTCAATCCCGAATCCCGGGATCCCGGCCGATTTTTGATACCTAGAAATCCCGGGATTGGTGACTTTTAATCCCGGGATTAACGGGATTGCAAAACCTATGTTTATATTGATTTTTTTGTGAATTTTAGGACTTTTTACTTGAGGAAAACTAATAATAATAGTCCAATAACACTTGAAACACATATACTCTTTATTTTTAGGACGATTATACGAAATGGTATAAGTAGGCCTAATGATCTTTTTGATTGGACAATTTAATTATCATTAAACTCAATAGGCGAACGAATGTAGGCCTAAATATATGCTTCAGTTTTTAGACGATTTGGATTTACTTTCTGTAAATGTTATTACATTAGTTAGAACTTAATTACAGTAGGCCTACAAGTTATTTTGAGTTTTACTGTTGACATTAAACGTAAACAACGCAAAATTCGTGTAGCAAATATAACATTGCAAGGAAATTTAAGTAGGTATTATTTTCATTGATGCCATAAAATATAACTATTAACACACGATTATAATCTCATTACAGTATTAAGATTGCTTATATTTAGGGTGTATAGCTTTATCTTCGCATTTGGTTATTAGTGTGGTGATTAAATTTCTTACAATCTAAAATTACGTTTTTCATACACGCGCTACTACATAAGCAGATGGTTTATTGTTTTACAGTATCTTATATTGTTTTATTGCTGTTAGTCAGAATAACATTTTTACGCTGCTACTCGTGATTCTTCCCATTTGATCTTTTTCTCTTAGCTATCTTTAATCTATCCATTAGCGTGACGTATCTAGGCTACGTGCGAGTGCGGTTGCTCGTGATTTTTTTAATGTATTTATTATATTCTAGAGTGACATATCAACATTTATACACTGTAAATAAGAAATACGGGCGATGAAAGTTCGTCGTGGTAATATTTATTTACTTAGAAAACGGAAACATTGCGCAGTGTAACACTGGTAAAACTGGCCAAAGTTTGAAACATTAAAGTACTCAACAAGGGGACTTCTCGCTCATTTAAAATGGCTAAAAAGTTAAAAATCATAATATTATATAATCCCGGGATTGATCCCGGGATCGGCTGAGACGAATCCCGAAATCCCGTGATTTGATTGAAGGCCCGGGATTGAGACCCCTATAACCTGTATCAACTGTTAGAGCACCTTGTATATTGCTCTAATATGAAAGCCCTGAACTATCGGTAGTTGCAATAAGTGAAGCTAAGGAGCTACTGTTTGGTTTTATTGCAACATACCTGTATGTATTTCTTGTAACAGTTGTATATTAGTTTTACCCAGGTGGAACTTCCCCGCCAATTGCAGCAAAATCGCCAGATCCCGCGACTACGAGTATGCTACATCATCATTGCACCTGTGTCCACAGTGAAATCATAAACATCTCCCGTGTTCACGGGTACATCATCATCGTCACCTGCAAGCTTGGCTGATTATTAACTTTTTAAATCATTGCTTTTTGTTTTAAAAACATGTTTATGTACAACACACTGTGGCCTTCCTTTGCTTGCGGCCTAGTAGTAAATCCAGCACCTACCTTCAAACCAAAATGTGAAGTGGTCCTTTCTTCTTTCCCTAGGTGTAGATTAAATGAAAACTACAAATGCATTTACTTGCGATGAATTTCATTAAAAACAACTACTGTCATCTTCTCAATGGCTTTGTCACCTGGTGAAAAATTTAACAGCACAAAGTCTTGTGAAGTTGAAAAACAATAATCTTCTTATGAAAAATTGTGAGTTACACTCAGTGTAGATTTGCTATCAAGGTGGTCTTGCTATTATGGTTCCTTTTATTGTTGTTAAAGTTTAACAGAAATGGGTTTTAATTGTGCGATGTTTGTAGGTACAAATAGACCCGTACCTCGAAGATTCAGCATGCTCCACCTGCAAGTTCCAGCAAGGGCCGTACTTCTGCCGGGAGTTTACATGTTTCCGATACTTCTGCCGCAGCTGCTGGTTGGTCCATGAGCTACTGACCAATCACATGTACATCACACGCAGCTCTAAAAACTCGACCGGGCAGCCCACGCAGATGCGATTCTCTCAACAGTGAGGTACGTAGTTCTACATTGGGCGAATTGCGCTTCCTTGAATATAAACTGGTTATTTCCACAAATATAAAACATCGAGTATGTACACTTTATACACACTTCTTTAAACGATTAGATTACCCAACTTCAGCTTTTTTGTCCCATTTTCACACACTAGGGCGGTAGACAAAGGCTGGAACCAATTTCACATTACTTCAGGGTAGTCCTAGAGGGTTGCCGCATCATCACTTAGATCAAATCCATTGATGATTGGTGGGATTTGAACCCAGGACCACGGGGATTGAAGTCCCACGCTCTACCACTAGAGATCACTTTACTACTTTAGTATTTAACCACTAAGATTTTGAGTGTGGGCTCTATTTGTGAAGTAGAATATTTCTGTTTGATGTTAAGGTGGGCATGGGACTTATTATGACAAACTTCTACGAGAGCAGTTCAGAAAGTTAGGAACGATTCTCCCAGACGTCCCTAGTCACTTTGCAGTTTGACAGAACTTTTACTCATTACATGTTTACAGTTCTTTCACAAACTTGATGATAAAGTTCTATAGGTTATAAGTTTTTGGCTAACCAAAATTGTACCTATTACAGACTGCACATCATAACTAGCAGGATTTTTAACGTTTTTACTTGAAAAACCACATTTTTAACTTGAATTTTGCAACAAAAGGCAACGCAGCAACACTTCTGCTTTGAGTGCTGGACAGTCACTGGGGCCAAAACGTCTGTACTTGAAAGTGTGCAACCCCAAATCAAATGGAAACATTCCTTACTTTCCTAATAGCTCTCATAGTTAACATTGAACTTGATGTATCAAAAAACTTACTAAATGAATACTTTTGTTCTAAATTTGATCAGTGGCTTTGCTGGTAGATTTCAGTAGCAAACTAAATATTGATAGTGATATAGTAGACGTAATAAAATAATGCCTACCACATCATACTTTTGCTTTGACACAAAATTATAGGTAAAGAAAATTAACAAGATGAACTAACTATAGGGTCTGTATCAAGATAGAAATATTTAAAATTAAAATACGACTCACAATTCAATATGTTTTTCTTTTTCAGGAGCGGAAGACTGATTCCTTGACAATAAATTAACACTGCGAAAACAAAAGACTGAAATGAGAATGTAATTGAAACGATTACACGACTAACTTGTAACTTGAGTCGGAACTTTTATATGTAAACTTGTGCCTCAGCTTGGATGTTCCGACTTTTAACATAGATAGATTTGTATTTTGTTTTTTATTAATATTTATGATATGCGCTTTACTAACACAGGAGGACTTTAGTATGCTTTTATGATTGTCAAAGTGCAGAAGTTTTGTATAATTGCAAAGTAAGATTTCATACTTTTACGGCAACAATGATTTGTCCTCGATCTTAAATTTTTTATTTATTTTATATGAAGATATCGATTGTTTTTACTTATAGCGCTACTTATATTCTCTATTGGTGATGGTATATGTAGGAACAAATTGAAATTATATAAACAAAATAAGTCATATAGACTATGACAACAATGTTCCTAGGAGAGTACAACTACTATCAGATGAAAATTCTGTTTTCAATGTGTTTTTAGTTGTTTAAGTTACTTTAGTGTGTCCATCAGATGTGTGTTATAAGTTATGATGAAATGTAGTAATAATTTATGTATTGAAAACAGTATTTTACCAATACTAAAATATGTATGATTATTGACTTTATCTTGAAGCTTTGTTATTTTGTAGTATTGTGTTTTTGTAGGCGAACTAATCAGTACACAACGCCTAGAGTTTATATGAATCTAACTTCTTCTTTGCTGTTATTTATTTTATATGTAAGAGTTTGATACTTAGTTTTATTATCAAACCTTGTTTGTTGATCGGTGATGGATTTTCGGGTTAATGCCTATTTCAAGTCATTATTGTCATTCTTCAAGTCATTATTGTTAGAACTTTGTAGTCCATTGAAATGGCAAATTTGTTAAGGTATTTAATATTCCTTGTTACTTCTTGTTTTGTTACCAAACTAAAATGATTTCTCGTATATGTTACACATGTTACGAAAGTATATTAAATATTGTTCAATAGTTCAACCATGTGTTTTTATTTTCCACAACTACAATGGGATGAGGTAAAAATCTTAAAGGGAATAATAAATAATTAAGGATTAATTAAAAACAGAAATTTAACAAATTGCTTGTATTATAAAAAAACATCTTAAATGTTAAAATCACAGGTATTTTGAACTACCATTATATCTACAAGAGAACTAAAAGTTTTCAAATTAATAATAAGCAGACTCCCTAAGTTATAACTGAATTTGGGTAAACAATATTTTCTTGTGCAACTAACTTAGTGAGCAAAGTGAGCAATTGACTCACTCAAGAGAAATACTTACTTAATGGTTTCTTGAGTGAGGCAATTGCACTTTGCACTCGAGTTGCACATTATATTTTTCCTACAGTTATCATGAAACAAATAAATTGGTAAAGAAACGTAACATATTTTTACACAGAAGTGAACTTTTAATATGACATTTAATGATACAACAGTACAACAGCTGACCAGCTGATTTACAGCCAGTGCTGCCAACGTATTTCGCGCGCATAAGACCTTGTCTGCATGTTACGCGCTCACTATTTCGTGCCTTCACGTTGCAAATCTGGAGTGAGACAATATTAACATTGTCTCACTGATGAGCGAATTGGCCACTTTGCTTTCTCAAATCAGTGAGAGAACATGTACATTGTTAGGTAACTGTAGGAAAATCTAAATGTGTACAGTTAAAATTGATTACCTTTTGAATCACAAGTTGTTTTTTAAAGAATTGATATAATTTGTAATAAATCAGAAATTTTACAAAGTAACCTCTATTTTTCAACTGATAAGTAATTCCACATCAATATCCTACACTTGCAGTTCTTTTGAATACATTATTCTAAACAAACATCTGACAAGCTTGGAATTTAGACTTCTGATTAATGCTAAATACATCTTCAATTCATTCACTAGCTTATTGAAAATTATAAGGAGATTTGTCTTAAAACGACGAGAAGTACTGACAAGAAAGTGGAACTATTTTTCAAGCGGAGCATAGTTGAGTAACTTCTCAATTAAGTCCACATGTCCCAGTAGCATTCTTCTGCAGCAATATCTCTTCAGGCCAAGAGCATCCAAAGCATCACTAAAAAAAACAACAACAATGAGAACTACAACCACTGGAGTTCTTTACATCGTTTTTGTTGGTAAGAGTGATATGAAAAATTATAAAAGATAGGTTAGAACCATGGTGTTTGCCTTATAGGTAGGCCTATGCCATTTTTATTTTGTTAGTGTTAAACAATTAATTATGATGGACATAATGCGCATGGTTCCTATGATACACAAATTAAATATGAGATTTTAAACCATTATTAACACCTAGATTATAGTATATAGTAGAACATCATCTATCCGAGGACCTCGGATAGTTGGACTTTTTACCAAAACAGCCGGAGCCTGGTGTTTTTCAGAAAATTGGCCGAGTCAAGCTGAGCTTTTACAAATTGTGGTCTCAGAAAAAAAAATTGAACATTCTCCTCAATTGCAGTAGACAATTACCTATGATTTCCCGTCAATGTGGGAGACGAAGATGATGTCTACAAGACCGAGGACTCAGGTCTTACAGACACCATTCAGCGAACCCTGCTATAGCGGTATCAGCTTGTATAAAGTATTTTGTTTTTTTTCCAATCATAGGCTAATGTTTTACACATTTAATTAGACCAAAAATAAATGCAAATAAGTCTAATATTATTATTTATTTTATTGAAAGCTAATAAAATAGGAAATACAATTAAAATTAAAGTTTGTTGTTTAAGATCATAAACAAACTGTTATTATTGAATGTTTTCAATAATAAACATTCAAAGTTTAAATATGGACAAAACAATCACTGTTGGTATGGAAACGACGTACAATTGCCCTTTCCCTCTGAAACTAGGCCTTGAACTATCTCATTTCTTATATCATCAGATTTTTCCAAAAACCTGTCCCACTCATCCTACAGTTACATCGTAAATAATGTTTTATCCTGGTACACGTAAACTTACATCATAGTTTCACAAGACAACACACTGACAGTTGATGTTACTTTACAGAAAAAATGGTGTAATACAGAGCTGGAATGGAATCCTTACAAACAAAAATTTTTAAATTCTGTGAATTAGGGTAATATTAATTTTTAGTGCTGCAACCTGCCGGAGAAATACTGAGCAATGTTAAAAAAAGTGTGTAGGATGGCCATCTATGCTGGCTGGACGAGCTGACGGGAAAACCAGTAGTGGCCAGCAGTGCTGGCCGTCCGACCTGAGATGCACGGTACCATGTAAACATGACAAGCTGATATAGAACATAGCCGTGTCCAGCAGGGCTGGCCATTTGAGTTGAGAGGAACTTTCCTAAAACAGTTTTGAGCTAAAATAGCAAAGGGTTAAATTTGTGTACAGTATTTTAATTTGTATGATTTTCTCTTGTCTTTCTTTAAAAATATGTATCTTGATTTGTTACTTGATGGAAAAAGTACCTACATCCCTTTTGGTGTGTTTCAACACCTCCTCATACAGAAATATGATGCTTTCTTCATGCTATCAGATATTTTATCCATGGAAGGCCCCTCAACAACCGTAGCAAGTACGACACACGATGTGTACAAGCAATAATTGCTTAAGATTTCAACATGTGATTTGATTGCAGCATCGCAGAAAGTGCCTTCTTGATAAGCCCCCTGAATCCCTTCATAGCCTTTTCGTCATGATCACTCTGAGTTAATTTTGTTTAATATAGTGCTTTCGAGGTAAATTTGTTTAGGGAGAAACAAATTGTTGAACGCAGTTTCATGCCGACTTTTTAAGTGTGGAGACAAGTAAGCCAGCCAATTGATAGTTTATTACCATTATCCGATACGATAATTATTCCCATTTTTACAGCTATGTTTCACGGATGATATTTAATATTCACAATGATGATGATATAACTATTCACAAGTTAACTCGAGCAGGCAAACATCTAGTCATGATATCAATTAGCCTACATCAACAACAGTATGTTATTTATTTTATGATTACTTATTTATATGGTGATTATCATCGAATGTGATCATAAGTTAGTTATAGGCTAATGCAAAAGTTAACCATAAGCCCTGAACATTCTCCACCCCTCACACACTTTTCCTAGATCCAAAAACTCATATCCGTTTTTCTTTGTTAACTATCGATAAATTTCCATAGGGATTAGATAGCCTATTTTTCACACAATTCTAATTACAGACGATTCATACTTAACAGGACTGTTAATTTCCACACGCATTGTGTTTCGGTACCATGACAAGACAAATTGACACTTATAGTGGGAATCAGCTGGAATAATTTAGTAGCCTAGGCTAAATAAAAAAAGTAGATTGTGCTCGTATCAATCAGATTTGAAATACCGGTCCCAGTGGTAGATTGTCGGAGGCCTAAATACAAACTCACGGATAAACGTCTTAAAATGTTAGTATAAAACAAGTTTTTTGACAATAGACTCAATAGTATCAACTTATTTTAATTGTAGGCCTAGATTTTGGTAAAATGAAATCAAATTTACTTTTAAGTTCAATATTTTAGTGACAGGAAAATGGTGGATCGAAAGCTTTAAGAATAACCTATAGGCCTACAGAATTACTTAGTTTGAGGTTTTTGTCATTATGAACGAATCAAATATTTATAGCTGAAATTCATGAATACCGGTAACTGTTGCCTTAACTATTTGTCCAATAGCCTAACCAAAACTATACTAACTTATACCTCCCGCAAAGATTCGTGGCAGCTGAAGGATTAGGACGGTCGTTGGTGTCCCAGCCCCAAAATTAGCCCTCGCTCGGCTGCTCTGGGTTTTGACCATGAGTCACCCACTAGGCTCAATGCATAGTTTGAAGAATTTTTGTATATCACCATAAAGTGTATTAATTAACGTCATTTTTGTAACCTGCATCAAATAACAAGAACATTGAGCCCAAACACAAAATAATTGCAATGATATTAAGCATACCTCGACACGAAAAAACTGTCTATTATTTTAAAACCAAATGTATGTAATATCGTCGCAATTATTTCGTGTTGTTGTGAGGCTAGACCTCTGATTTAGGGTCACTGGATGGAACAAGTTTTGTAACATTGTTTTGCAATACTGTAATATACATTAAGTTACTCACCCTTCAGTGTACTCCGCTTGTAAAAGGCCCAAATATGCTTCCCATTTATTACCGATGACTTTACCACATGTAAAACAACGAACTGGAATGATCATCTTTAACCCTGTAAAAAAAGATTTGTTTATTAAATACTAGTAATTGTGTACTACCTTTTCGAGGTCAATATTTGAGAAACCTAGATCCACTTTCAATTCTAGTGTTTTCTGTACATCTTTTAAACGGCAGGCCTTATAACAATATCAAAAAATAATATACGGCACTGGATGTATGTGCTATGATGAGGCTTGAACCTTGAACCAACAGGCTAGATATAAATAATCCAAAAATTAAGAACAACCAGCCCAAAATCAATTAAACCTAACTTAAAGAGTTCCTAGCCTTAACCTATTGCAATTCTGACAGTATGCTTGAAAATCAATGTATATGTACTACCTAATAGGTTTTAGCTTTTTCAGATATATCTAGATGGATGGGTATTCAAACAGTGTCGTAGCCAGGGGGGGGGGGTCCTGGGGGTCCAGACTTTAATATAATCCCTTCTGGTCTTTAATATAATATTTTTTTGTTAAATTAAATGTAAAATTATACAATCATACTGTATTGACGTTGGGGTTGGTTACTTTCAATGCCAAGAGAGCTAAAAAGGACTGTTTCAGGGCCTATATTTTTAAAATTTTTCTCGGACCCCCTTTTACCTGGGGGGTATGGAATACCCCCCAGACCCCCGGTCGGTCGACCCCTCCTATTTTGAAATCCTGGCTACGTCACTGATTCAAACAATGATTGTGATCTAAATTACCGTTATTTCACACTCAACACTGTTTTTAACCTAAAGACAAGATCCCAGATCTCTTCAGCAATTCTATGCTCTCAAGAGTTTTTAACCAAATTATTATGTAAATATAACCAATATTACAATATAAATATACAATATATAAATGTAAATATAAATTTAACCAATAGTTGTAAATATTGTTTTTTTGTATTAGTAATCGTGTTTAAAGTGACGCTGTCAATCCCACATTGTGGGTAAAAGACGAAGAAGGAGGTATTAAGGTATTATTTTAAATAAAAAAAATATCTTAAGGCAGTCTCAGATCAGTATATATGTCTTACCTGCGTTTGTGTGTTATTTCTTTGAATTAAACAAAGACAAAGTCTGCAAAAGAATGATAGGTCTGACACCGTCACTATAAGGTTAAGGTTGAGGTTATGTCAAAGAAAAACAAACATAAAACTAAAACAAAACAAAACAGCTTACAGCTGGCTTGATTATGATAATGTCATGACGTGCTTCTTATTGATTTTTCTGCTTTCTACGTTTGCAACGACAGGCTAAGCTATGTGTGTGCTATGTAGCTACTCTCCGCATTCTATCTAGCTAACTCCAATACATACATTTACATTTACACACACGCATTTATTTATTTCAAGTTAAATTGTATGTTGCTTCTTTGGTTATATTTATTTCGATTTTAACTCAAGCCTAATAGTAAATTATCAATAAGGACAAAATGTATGTATGTATAATTTTGACTTTTCAATGCATATGAATGTAAAAATACCAATAACATACCTTATGTCTTATACCTTTTACCCAACAAACTGAAATTATTCTATTTCCGTATAATCACGTAAAGGTACTTAGGTTGTAAGGTTATGGGTACTTTTCCACGGCCACCTTTCCAGGCCGCGGCCTTCGAAGTGGCAACATCCAAGGCCGCCTTTAACTCCAGGCCGCGGCCTTCGAGCTGACAACATCGCAAGTGGTGTTGTAACAGCTGATTTTTTTGGAAGCAACTAATGGTATCTGTTTATTTACGAAAGATTGATTATTGGACTATGACAATATTATCCGCTTAAAAATGTACAGATATAGATTTTAATTCATATTGTTGCAATTTTCAATTCTGTATGTTTTATTTTCAATAATTTAATAAATTTATGTTCATAAATTAAAAATTAAATCAATAAAGTGCGAATTAATGAGCTGATGTCACATGTCTGCCATATTATCTTATGGGACGTCTGTCACTGAACAACACCACTTATTGCGATGTTGCCAATTCTACCAGGCCGCGACCTGTAGTTAAATGCGGCGGTGCAACATCGCAAGTAGGGTTGTAACCGCGGCCGCCTTTAACTACACTGTAGTCTACAGTTAAAGAGTTAAAGTCCGCCGTGGTTGTAACAGCTGTTTTGTTTGGAGGTAGCTAATGGTATTTGTGTATTATTTTGGGATAAGAGCTTGGTTAATGGTTACTAGGCTATAAAAAGTATTGACTTCAATTTAAATGTACAAAAAATAGATTTTTCATTTAAATATTTTTTCAATTCTATGTTTGAATTTGTCTAGTGTTCTGCTAAACCTGGCTTCACCGCAACATCTATATTCCTATTTGCGTGTCCTCTCCTTAATGTTTAATCCCCCTATAGATACACTCTCATTCTGTACCACACAACAATCACTGCGCCATTGCAAAGACTTTGGCTGCGTGTCCTGTGCTTAACATGACCTCAGACGTCCAGAGCATGACCTAAAGCTCAGAGGCAGTTTTCACCAAACCATTCACTGTTGAGTTCCGCTCCAGGAATGAGTTTAAACCCAAGGAAGGACATCTCCGAAGAAACGGAGAGCCTCGTCTGGTATACATCCCTAATCAATAGGAAATCTGGCTTCGGAGTATACATAAATCGCTTAGAACAGAAACTTTCTGCCTGTCTGGCTGGGACGATACTGAACCATCATCCAGGCAGAAATCTATGGTATCTTGGCTTGTGCCAACCTAGGACTAGTCAGATGCTACCAAAAAAAGAATAGTGATTTTGTCTGTCAGGCTGCTCTTAAAGCTCTAGACTCCCAATTAAAGTCACCTCAAAGCTGGCCTGGGAGTGTTTCAACACCCTCTGCAAACTTTCCATAATAATAAAACACCACTACCATCCGACCATTGAACACTAACAAAACAAATGTTACGACAACTGTCAAGAGTTTCAAGGTATCAACTAACAATGGCGGGACAGTTTGGAAAAAGTTGCTCAAGTTTTGTGGCCCAGCTGTGGGAGTTGTTACTGTTTTGAGAGGTGCATTTTATATGGTTTACTCTGTAATGTAGTCTCAATTTTATTTTTATAAAGAAAAATTGTTTTCTCCTGTATATTTCTACCTATACATCTAGGAATTTAGTGAAAGCAAATTCATTAATTTGACCAATAACTGTACAAAGCACAAATCACAGAGCTCATATGAGTGGTTTGCAATCTAGAAATTACGGGTAAGAACTAATGACAATACCCTCCTTGCAGAAAATCTACATAGTAAGCAAATTCCAACTACTTTCAGTTCAATTAATTGTTTTATGACATAAATCAGTTTACAGTGGTAACTAAGATGAGTAAAAAACATGTTTACAATCTTAGGTACATTATGGTGCTGAAAAACATAGCAATAGGTAGGTTTAACACTCCACGAATAAAAAATAATTGTGTAAGCGTTTTGTTGAATTGTTACCAAACAGGATTTATTGCAAAACCAATGCAAAGCCTCACCTCAATTATTAATAACATTACTCTTAAGAACTGAACTTTGATTTTCTGTTATTAGGTGGACACAAATCTTTTTTGTCTGGGTTCAAATTCAAATTGTTTTTTTTTCATCTAAGTACCTTTAACATTGAACAATTAGAATGCATTGCCTCAGATAAAAAATACAACACAAGTTAATATGGCTTATTTATTTATTCACGGCAATGCGCCATTTACATTTGACTACAGGAGTAGACAATTTGTTGTCAACAATAAGCATGTGTAACAACAGGAAGTAATGTAATGAATAACAACAATATCAAGACAAAAAATTGATAGTTAAAATTTAAAATATATAATTCAATATGAATATGATATGATTGAACATGATTAATTTGTAAACGATACAATACAATATTCACAAAAACAAACAAGAATGACATGGGTGTTATAACCCTAAGGCCAAAATATTAACAATATTATATTATAGTAAATACAGCATGTGTAAATTAAGTCTTCAAACAAATCTTATTTTTCAAACCGAAATAGATAGAAATATTCTGTTTGTGGCGTTGATTGTTAACAAAGGTTCCATAATTTTTTACATCAAAATATTTTTTAACCTCCCCAACAGGGTTGGGGGTAGGGGGTGACTTATTTTTTTCAAATAGCAACCCCTATTGAGTGACCCCTCATTTTTAAGGGGGTTGTCAAAATAAAAACAATGACACAAACCCAAGGTTTGATATTTCACCCCTTGCCTAAATGACGGGTATTCCAAAATTTGATTTATGTGAAAAAGCACCCATTTTGGAATACCCACAATTTTTGCTAGGGGTATGATATTCACCTGGGATTTTCGACAAACCCTTCAAAATGAGGGGTCACTCAATAGGAGTTGCTATTTGAAATCAAAAAAAGGTTTTTTCCTTACAGATTTCACCAAAGTGTCTTTTAGGAGCTATTTTTTTAGCTTTTACCAACCAAAACTATCTTCTCATGCTTTGTGTTACACCCCCGATTCATCTTTGATACTTAATCTTGCATTATAGATTCATCCATTCCTTAGAATTAACCACTGAGCTAGAAAACAAACAAGACTGACATGGGGTTATCATGGAATTGTAAAAGCTCACAATAATGTTGCCAAATGTTATAAGGATATATCTACATATATTGTAGGAGACAGTGTACTGTGTATAAATAAATTAGGGATGGACAGGTATTTAAATTTCGAGCAATTTTGGGGAAATTTTTAATCCTGTTTTAAGAGACGAGATTGAATTTTCATCAAGATTTTTTTTAGACAAGATTGGAAAAAAATCTTTAAAACGCCTGCATAAAGTCAATGCAAAACCCGCAACACAGGAGCGCGTTGTTGTTGCGTTTCCAGTACAAAGGCATTCTTATTAAATTAATTCTTTACGTGTACATATTGCTTTAATTGTTTTATAATTTTTGGTTTTCACATTGCAAATGATGAAAAGTTTTGTTAAGTGTAAGCAGTGTGAGAAATTTTTACTACTGTAAACATAGCCAAAAGAAGTCACTCCAAAATCATTCTAAAAATAACAAAAGACTAAAAAAATTGTTTCTTCATACTCAACTAGTAAGACTGATGTTTAAGACTGATAAATTTTGAATTTTTCAAGGTTGATAGAAATCCTAACTGATATCACCATGTTTCCTATGCGGAAGAGTTATTTTTATTAAGGTAAGCTAAATTAATATATTTTTTTTATACTGGTGTTTTTTATTAATATTTTTTAATAAGACATTTCAAATTTTCTTGTCTATTATTATCATTTTTGTATTTAACCAGTCATCTGTCATAAACCAGTAGGTATTTAAAATCTTACAAAATCAGGTTAAAATGTTAAACGTACATTTTCCGTTATGTATGAGAAGGAAAATTTTGTCTTGAAATTTGATGAGAAATAGAAAATCCCGTCTCATCTTGAACTTAAAATCCAATTCCGTCCATCCCTAAAATAAATGAACTCATGAGTGAATTTCAGTTATAACTGTTTTTCAACAGGACTAAACAAAAATTATTTTTACTAGGAGAAAAAAATGTTGTAGTAGATTGAATTTCCAACCAATAGATGTAAAGTAACCGTGTAAAATTCTACATAGTTTGTATTTTGAGCTAACTTGAATAGTCAACAAATATTTTTGGACATTTAACACTAATACCGAAACCCTACCTAGGCTGACGCTAACCAAAACCCCCGGTCTGTGAGACCCCATTTGAAAACAATGGACTCCGCTTAGAAACAAAACCGAAACCCTGGGCCTGTGAGACCCCGCTTTATTTAAAATACACTAACACTGGGCTTCTGAGACGGGCATGTTATGAACAGACAACCTGTCAAGGTTACGGCACCCACGCAAAATGAACAAACAATATATCAATTGGTAGGGGAGGAAAAGGGAGGAAGGTATTTGAACAAGTAAACAGTGTTGTCAACAAGCGATTGTGAAAATTCCTGTGGGCCTGTCAGACCGGGGTTTCGGTATAAGTGTTAATAGTCGAGTAAAGTTATGGAAACACCCCAAAAAAATTCCTACAAATGATTTTATGCTGAATTTTACTTTAATAGATACCTGTCAAAGAAAATATAAAAGTCTAGGAAAATCGGGCCTCCGGTAAGGGTAATTTCCAAGATGGCGTCAAAGATTCCTGTAAA